CTGCCCTCTCCTATATCCCCATTACCTTCTATAGCAGACCCAGATCCCACCGCTCATGGTTTGCATTGACAGACCGCCGCATAAATCTGCAGCCAAGTGAGTGCGGCGCTCTCCTTCTGTTAGCAGCAGTTGTTTATGCCATACTTTAGCATCAGCAGCCTTCTCCAAAGCTCCCAGCGCCTCAGGGCCACAAATCTACTGCTCTGCTATCCAAAACCCATTCAGCACTTCTGTAAAAGCTCTATATTAAACTGGGAGACACTTCCACATGAGGGATTTTCTACTAGTTGGAGTCAGTTCATTCAGATGTCGTAAAGTTCTATTGAAAAGTGAGGCTAAGTATGTGGAGAGTCAAAATCACGTATAGTATTTGTGCTAAATCATTGTGGTCATGCTGCATGAATGTTTGCTCTAACTCTCTTATAAACATCCACTTCTTCTTATTCTTTGTTTTCTTTTTGTTTGTTTTTTTGCTCAATCTCTGATCCACATCTGATTAGAGTGTGTCATACAGGCAGTTTTAACAAGCAATAAACCATTGTGCTATGTCAGAACCAGAACCATGTATATAACCATGTGTTTCTTCTAATTCATTGAGATTTAAAACAAGGGTTATAAATGAATCCATTAATCACAACGAATCACATATTTACTAATCGATTATTTTAACCTTACCTGGAACCAAAGAAAGCAGTAAAATTACTTCAGAATTACATGGAGTTGTTTTTAAATAGTATTTCTCATCAAACAACCAATTTATCTTTATGAAGGTTTAACTTTGTTTTGGTCGAATTGATTACAAAAAACAGAAAATCCTACTAACCTCCATACTATTAACAATATTATTCCTCTTTAACACTATTTCAAACATTGCATGCAACATGCACAAGTTAATGTGTTGCCTGAACAGTAGTGCGAATCTGATGATTTTATTGTTGATATTTCTGTTGGTACAACATTTATTATTGATAAAACAAAACGTATCCCTCATTAATGTACTTTAAATTATGTAAGTCTTCCATTTTCAGTTATGCATGACCCTGAGCCCTGGTGCCACCCCCGGGGTAAAGAGATGGATAACACGTCTGTGTTGTTATGGTCTTAACTTTTCCCCCCAGACATTTAATATGAATCTAAAGTGGTGCTACCAGTTAAAAGAGCAGACTCAGTGGTTGACCCTCCTCTATGATATTTCTGCTGGCAGGCATCAGTCTCCTGTTCAGACTCAGATTCCTCCTCCTTTGCTGCCTCTGTCTTCACTCCTCTTGGCCACTGTTGCCGCCGTCACCATATTGTGTTTGTCCACGCTGCCGTCTGATCTGCCACCATCTTTACCGCCTAATCTGTTTCCACACGCACCTTCCAAAACTCTGATACCTGAGCTCGTAGCACCATAAATCATGCGCAGACAGGTTGTTGGAAGGAGCCTTTAATGGGATCTCAGCATATTCATATCTGGACGTGGCTGTGAAAAGAGTCTGCACTGAAAGACGAAGATTAGCCGTGGATGTGGAAGTGTGTGAGGCTGGAGCTGTCAGGGGGATGTGGGGTTATAACAGAGCTAATAGCACTTTGAAAAGACTATCAAAGTATTCCTGTTGTGTAAGGGTTTCAATGGACTGTTTATTGAAATATACAGCTTATTAAAATAGAATAATGTGGATGTTCTTTACAGCTACATGTTTTAGTGGCTTGTTTTGTTGTGATATTGTGCTTGTTGTCGTTTGAAGTTATCCCTTGTGATGCTCTGGCAATGGTGTTCAGATCCAGCTTGTTTTCCTTCAGTTTTGTCTTCGGAAAGTTCAATTTATTTTTGTATCGCCTTAAAGCAGTGATTTACAAAACAGAAATGCCATGATAAATGTCCATACATTTGAAACGCTGATAAATCAGATAATGGGAATTAGAATACTTAATACATTTATAAATTATTTGTGAGCTTTTACAGTATGCTTTTGTCTGTCAGTACTGGGAGCGCCATCCAAGGGGTTTGAAGCATTTGGGTACCTTTTGTCAAAAAAATTAACACCTATCATCTTTTTTCTCTTGCTGCTTTTGACAGCAATCACATCAACTAGAAATGTAAAGGATCTTTTAAAGAAAAGTAAATCAGTCAACAGTCGACGATCAGCCATCTTCATCTTTGGTCCAGTTCTACTTCCGCTACCTTTGTTCAAACTACAAAGTTATAAAAAAATAAACTATAACTATTACTCATGTTTTTTTGCAGCTGTTTCCTATTTTCACCATTGACTAGACCGTAGTTTGTTTGTAATGTCTCTCCGTGCGAGCCACCTCAATTCCGGTTGAGACAGGAAGTGTCAAAATAGAAGATTTTCTATCAATAATAATACATCAACTAATCAACCAGTGTGCTTTTATATTTCTGTACCCCTTGGCCGTTATATTGCGTTTTATTGACTTTGTCCGCCAATTTGGAATCTGGAATTTTATATGATTTGACTTTTTACATTTGCATAATACGTGAACAAATCAACCTATACCACTTTTGGATAATTTTTGAAGCAGTAAAAATTGGTCCAAATACCTTTTTTTATTTCAATTTATCTTGAAAATAAAAAGATACAAAATAATCTTTGTATTATTTCAATGAACAATATTTGCTGATAGTAAAATCGGCCAATTTTGAAAGTAATTCAAAGCGACCATCAGCCAGTCAAACTTTGAAAGAATCTGGGTCAGAAAACCCGCCTCGTCGATCTGTAGTTTCCACTAAATCCCGGTCTATCTTTTCACTAAAACATTCAATATAAATACACTATGGAATTATTTTCATGTTCAAAGAATATGGAACCAGAGTGGCAGGGCTTGACCTCCTCTTATCAGACTGGAGTGCTTCATGTGAATCTCCTCCATTGATTAGGCCATAATTGGCTGTAATTGCAGTGTGTAGGCGGCGGTGAAGGGCAGGCTGCTTCATAACTGATTAACACAACGGCATTCTCTTCGACAGAACCCACAAAATTCATCCGGATCCAACTCGACCATGAGCCATTGCACGTCTTCAGTGTGCATTCACGACGCAGTGTGCTCCGTAATTATGTCTCTTCATTCTACAAAAATAGGACTTCTTAAAATAAAGCAAAAAAAAAAAAACTTAGATAACAGCTATAATCTTGTTTCTCTATTGAAACTGTTCTCGTTGAGTTAGGCCGAAAAGCATTGGGCTAAGTTTTGTTTTGGATATGTCGCTGGGAAAGTTATGGTGAAAAGTCTGTTCACCATGGGGCTTCACACAAGAAGGGCCTGGTTTCAATTCTACCTCCAGACGGGGTTTTTCTGTGTGGAGTAACTCGCAAACTCCACTCAGAAAGGCCCTGTTCCAACCAGGATTCGAACCCAGGCCCTTCTTGCTAAAAAGCGAGAGTGCTATCCACTCAGCCAACTGTTTCCTATTTTCACCATTGACTAGACCGTAGTTGTTTGTTTGTAATGTCTCTCCTTGCGAGCCACTTAACTTCCGGTTGAGGAAGGAAGTGTCAAAATAAAATATTTTCTATCGATAATAATACATCAACTAATCAATCAGTGTGCTTTTATTTTTCTGTACCCCTTGGCCGTTTTATTGTGTTTTATTGACTTTGTCCGCCGATTTGGAGTCTGGAATTATAAATGATTGACTTTTTAACTTTGTTTAATAGGTGAACAAATCAATCTCACTTTTGGATGATTTTTGTAGCAGTAAACATTGGTCCAAATACCTTTTTTTTCAATTTATCTTGAAAATAAAACGATACAAAATAATCTTATATATAATATTTGCTGATTCAAAGTGGACAGACAGATCTTTTTTATGTCTACTTTTGCCCAGACAAGGACTATCCAGGCATGAGCGCTGGGGCGACCTCCGCACTCCTCCTCCTCTCGCATTGCTCCAGTGCCTCAGAACATCACCTAAACCTTGGAGTGCAAAGAATCAAACCAGCCAACTCTATCTAAGCTCCAAATCTATTTTAAACAAAAGGTTCCACTCTTTGTAAACCTACTCTCAGTGTCCTCAACATTGTCCTCAACATGAAAGCACATGTTTTACTTGTGTTTCAAACTTTGATTTTTGGATCTTGTGTGTCTTCATCAGGGCAGGAGTGCTGTGTGACGTGGTTGTCAAGCCGCTTAAATAAAGAATAATTTTACTTTGAAACAGCAGTCTTTCTGTAATGACTGTTTAAATGGTCAAATGAGTTGCATGATACATTGAATCCACTTGTCTCCACAATGACAAGCAGAATCTCGTCTTTGTGTTTTAAAGAACAAATATCAAGCTTTTTTTTTACCCTTTAACATTGCATTGAGTATGTACTTTTTCAAATAAAAAGTCACATCTTTAACAAATATGCGTTAACATGTTTAATGGGAAAAGAAAAAAGCAGTGAAACACCTCCATCTGGTGGAAGAAATTGGGAAATTACATTACTTATATAAAGTGTGTGGTGTACTGCAACTATTGATTATTTTATAAATATATTATTGTGATTAACTTGTTTACCATGTAAACACCTGTATATTCCTGTATTATAAACAATTGTATCATTTGTGATTTCTTCTGGTTAGAAATATTCAAAGTCGAGGTCAATCTAAAAGGAAATTATATATTTTATATTATATTTATATATTCAAAATTGTGCACACCCTTTTCTTGAAAAACTCAGACTAAAATAATGACAGTGTTACCCTTGCTAAGCATTGGGAGCGTGTTTTACCCTGTGTAACTTTGCTCGTCCCTGCGCTCCTCATCACCCCCCGTCCTCTGCACCGTCCCGCAGGGCCATCCATCTACCGGTAACAAGGCCTGTATTTACCCGCGCTGATCCGAGCCATTGGACGCTCAATGGCTGTGGCAGGTCAAGGGAGTGGACTGATTAGCTCACTTTTCATCCAGCATTACCGCAGCCTAATGATGGACAGCTCCCGGGCCCGCCTCCATCCATCACCGCGGTAACACCCTGCTCTTCTCGTCTTTTATGTGCGTGCGTGCTCAGGTGTGACCAGTGCCGCCTCTGCTACCACTTCGGCTGTCTGGACCCACCCCTGAAGAAGTCCCCCAAACAGACGGGCTACGGCTGGATCTGCCAGGAGTGTGATACCTCCTCCTCCAAGGTGAGCTCCAGGAGAATTTTCACATTATTCTTTGGGAAATGTTTCCCTCAAACCAATAATACCTATCCACAATATATGCATATATGTTGCAAACCTTATTTTCTTCTTTAATTGTATTGTTGTTGATGGGTAAGACTGAGTTTGTCGCTGAGTGAGACTCAAAAACTCACTAAAATAAAAAAGAGAGAAATCTAGAGCCAAATCTACTTTAACAGACATATATACATACATACAATTATTTCAGAACATCTACAACACAAACAAAATAACATAACACACCATAACTAATGACATACAAAAACACTAGAATAGTAACACAACACAATACAATATCATATATGATATATAACACACACACACAGGCCAAAACACTATCAAGCAATCAACTTTTGCTTGTAGAGCGCTTTTCCTACACAAGACACCTCAAAGTGGCTCACAACCCATATAATTTCAGGCATAAACAGGCATCTACTGTACATAAAAAAAAAAAATCCTACACCTATCTCCCACTACTCGCTCTGTGCTGGCATCACTCTCTTTCCTCTTAACATGCTTCTTAATTTCGTCTTGTTAATTAAACCGTTTACTGATGGTTCAGCGCTCACATTTTCAGACAGTGGAAAGCTGCTGCTTTAAAACAGACTTAAGATTGTCTGAGTGGTTAGCACTATTGCTCCTCAGCAATAAGGTTCTGGGTTTTCTCCAGGTGCTCTCCATGTTATCCCCAGGTTCCCTACCAAAACAGCTAGAATTATGACCAAGAGCAAGCATCAATATCTGGAGATCAGCCCTGGGTGCTGAACCATGGCAACAATTGCCCCTGACAGAGGCCCTAATGGTATTCAGGATGGGTCAAATGCAGAGAGCAGCTCCGACTGTCTTAATGTTGTAAAAATCAGAAAATGTGATTTTCTGGACTCTCTTTTCTCATTTTGTCTCTCATAGTTGAGGTATACTGTACAGTAACTATGGTGAAAAATACAGGCATCTCTCAACTTCTATAGTTTGAGGAGCACACTTTTTTCTCTGCTTGTATCATTTGGTTTCCTTTCCTTTCTGGCACATCTCTGACTTGGAGGCTGTTTTTGACACTTTTCCTGAACGTAAAGCTAACGTTAATTTGCAGGCGTTTGTCATGAGGACATCTGTGGGACGCAGTGGTCGTCTGTAGACACTTAAGCAGCTGTACAGAATAGTTGGAATCAGAGGATGCGGCGTCCAGGCCTCTCCCTCCTCCATCCCGGCTCTAAATGACTGTTATCCACTCGCAGCAGTGTCTCCAGCCTGTGGTTAGCCCCCGCTGCTGCATAAACCGCGCCACATTTAGCTCTGTTCAGAAAGCCTCACTGAAGCGATCTTGGCGCTTCTGTCCTCAATAGAATAGAATCAACACACTTGCTAATGATGCATCTAATTAATTTCTTATTAATCTGTTTTTGCTCCCAGTGTGCGTTTGTATTGCATTTGTCAGTTCACTGGATGCACAGCGGTACATTGGCGTCGCGGTACGAAAGTAGGAGGTTGGGCTCTGAGTGCGCTTTTGTCAGGAGAAATGTACGTGCTGGTAGAGTATTGTATTGCCTTGTATTGGACTATGCCTGGTCATAAAAACTACTGTAGCAGTCTTTGTGAAGAGCTACACCAGAATTGTACATCTGCAGCAGTGGATACATGATCAATTAATAAAATCCTTTAGTGTCTTTGGATTCATATGGGCTTTCGAACGCTCTCGTTAAAGGAATGGGCTCGTGCCGGCCAACGCATTCGCAAATGCGGTTTTTCACATTTTCCTGTGGATTTAAAAAAAGACAGCGCAAGGCAAAGGTGATGGCACATTAGTTTCATCTGCGGAGGGACAATACAGTGCGTATTCATTATGACCGTAACAAGCGCAATCAATGTTTGGGCTTTTACATGTGCTGCTCTTTCCTTCAAAATGTGTATATTTCTCCATGTAGATGATAAACTCGCCTTAGTTCATTATTGTGAGTTTCTGTCTGGTCCTGTGCGACTTTTTAAATCTTATTTTAGATCTCACACGGGTCTAAAAAACTTGCCAACCTTTCCAACTCCAGAATCAACAACCCATTTCAAAACATACAAGTCTGCTGTGGAAACATATGGTGGAGACCAGTGTGAGGTAAACAGCAGCTTTGTGTTGCATAGTTTCAAACCTATTCAATGTTTTCCCATCCACACCCCCACAACCCGCAGGCACCCCCTCTCATCAATCTCCCCCCTGCACCTCTCTTCTGCCTCCCACTCTCTCACATCCAGTGGGCACCCTCAGGCCACCATACCCCCCAGAGCTGCATGACATTTGCTGCTTTGACGTGACAAATTTGCGCAATGGACTTCAATAGCCCTCCGTTGCTCTAAGCTTATTTCAAATCGTTCTGCTCATTTGGATGAAGACATTCCACAATTACTTAAAAGTGACTGATTCGTTTAAAATCAACTTTTATGATCTTTAAGACAGGGGCTTGAAAGTATAGGACTGGACTCGATTTGTAACGCAATAATGTTTGTGTATAATTCACAAAAGCAAAAACTTAGTTGTTACTAAACTATATGTTTATACTATGTTCAATAAAATAACTTAAGAAGCTACAGAAATTGTTCACGATCAGAAACATTAGTGGAGAGGAACAGACGTGTTTGTAAAGCAGAAATGTACAACCAATGCACTGAAAGGTCTGAGGGGTGGATCTCTGGAATGGATGCACAGATGATCTTAAATCATGAAATTCACTTTTCCAAATAAATTCAAAACTATCATTTTGGATGGCAACATGAACTCAGAATCCTAATATTTATGCAGTCGCTTCTGTAAATTATAATGTGTACATTCATGGGCAAAATTAGTTTTAGCTTCAGCCTACACCTTTTCTGTCTGTAATGATGTATATAAATGTAACCGAAATACAAAACTTCATGAATTCACATTCACGTACTTTGCTAAACTAACTTGAATCTTTTAACAAATAAACAGCTGCATTTCTGATGAAACTCTATGAACTGGTTCCTGCCATATTCTTTTTTATATCAATATTGCTCTTTAAAGTGACTAAAATGTAATTCAAAGAATGATAATATAATCATCAAGCCACAAAGCCACGTGTACAACATTTTATCCTCTTCACTTCTAATACAGATCCTTTTGAGCGGCAGTTAAAGAAAGTGGCATTTTTGAAGGGGTTCGCAAGGACCTTTTTAAGGCGCAGGGTGCTGGGAGCGCGTCAGTAATGGCAAGTGTGGGGAGATAATTGACTTGACTAAGGGCATCTAAAAAGCACTTCGAGATGAGAGCCGTATTTAAGGCGAGTTTTATTATCTGCCGTTAAATGCCAGCGCAGGGGCCTCGCGGGAAAAGGTGGGAGGGGCCATTCAAAATGCCACGCTTAAGTGCAGCGCATCACCTGCAGGCGGAGATAGCGGGCGGTCAGCTCCTCTCGGCCCGACGCAGAGCAGGTAAAGCGAGTGATTAGTGGAGGCTCCCAGCAGACAGCTCTTATCAAGACGAGGAGCGCGGGTCGAGAGGCACTATATCTATCACCGCCAAGTTATGACAAGTCGGTTTGAGATATGCAAAGAGGGACAGAAGCAAGTCATGCTTTTGTAATGCGTATTTCCAGTCCAGAGGTTTCTCTCCTTACATTCGAGGTCACAGGTGCACGAGCTTGAAGCCAGGTCCACACTGGATAATAACTTGTCAGGGTCTTTTGAGTCATGTACAGTATGATCTTTGGATTATTTGCAGAATCACCTTTCCACAATATAAAATGAAGGTGAGAGAAGATGGTTTAGCTCTATGGCGACATTATATTGAAGTATCTTTTGAGAGGCATTTAAAGCTGGTGTACCTAACTTTCATATAGCTTTACTCTCAAAACAGTTTGATTCTATCAGTTTTCACATGCATGCATTTGCATGTGTTTTTGCCCTTTATCACATTTCTTGGCCATAATATGTGAATAGTTGCTGATTTCCTCTGTCAAAGTCCTCTGCAGTTATAGATTATGATACATACATGTATCATATATTCCACAAGTGACTTATCTTTGACCCAAGTGCAATTATAGCTCCAAACTATAGTATTATTATTATATAATGGATCATGTTTAATGTGTGCATAACCTGAGTGCGCAACAGTGACATTGACTGAGGGACAAACAAATGTTTATCTATGTAAAAAAAAAAAAAAAACGTTTAGCAAACAAAAATACTTAGAACTGAATCCTTCAACAACTTGCCCTGGTGAAGAATGTACCACATGTTGCCCGCTGTTGAAACTTTATATTTGCTAATGTGTTCTGCGTCGAACGTATCCAACAAACATAACAAGAGTTTGATAGAAGCAGCTTTCTTCTACCAAACCCCCATGTCACTTAAAGCTGGATTACACAATATACTCTCAGGCTGTCGTTGGGCTGTGTGACCAACATCAGGCCTATCTCAAACAAGCCAACTGCTGGAGAGCCCTGCCGCCTGCAGACTGGAGGTCAGAACACAGGGGTCGTGGGTGCTGGCCTCGGGCAGAGCAGGAAGTGAGGAGAATGGTCATATATGGTCGAGCAGCTGCAGTCTTTTTGATGGGAACGTGACTAAGTGCAGTATAAAGTGCAGCGTCCCACACAAGTTCACAGATGAGCACTTTAAACACAGCTGGAGCAACTTTAAGAGCTTTTGGCATTTCCCGGCTTTCATGCAAATGCAGCGTTACGACTTGGCCGTGGAAGGCCCCTGGTATCACACTGGCCCCGGATAAAGTAGGCGAAGGCGTGAGATCACTCTTGTTTACTTGAGGAACTGTGTAAGAGTTGTTCTACTGGAGCACACATTATTTCAATATTTTTTTCAAGTTTATCTTGAGAAAAAGGCCCATCGTGTTTCACATTTTAAACATATTACAGAATTGGCCATAATTGTTTCTATTCCTCTTTGTGCTCAATATTGTTTTTAGAGCATTGTTCTCCGCCTTCAGAACGTCATTGGTTTGA